TTGCCGCTGAGCTAAATCCCCAGCCCCTGTGAGACCTTGTCTAAAAAGTTAAAAAATAAATAAATAAATGTAAATAGTTCGAGGATGTAGTTCAGCACTCCCTGGATCCCCAGTACTGTAAAAAGTAAGTAAATAAATAAATAAGTTTTTCTGATACTTCATATGTCTAGAAAAACTAGAGGATCACTGGTAAGATCCAGGCACTGGGTTCAACTCTCAGCTCCTTGAGTTACCAGCTGTGTGACCTCAGGCAAGTCACCGAACCTCTCTGTGCTCCGATGACCTCATTTCTAAACACAGATAGCAGAATCCTGATAATACCCACCTCATGTTGTGATAATTAAACGGGTCAACAAATGTGAAACGCTCGCAAGGATTCCTGGCTCAGAGATAAGTATTGTCTTAATTAATTCATCCCACCTGATAACAGAGCCTTTCCTAAGCTCTGGAAGTTCCACAAAAGAAAAGGCAGAGCTCCTATTAGGATGCGGGGATGAAGGGTGATCTTTTACACTCTCTCATTTCAGACTTGGTGTCATGCGATATGACTTTTACATTTTTTATGAAATGTGTTTTTAAACAGAGTCAGCTGCACAGCTCTCCCTGCCCTCTTGGGAGCTGCTTGGGGACAGGGTCCCCAAACTTGGAGGTTCCTTGGGGTAGGGGGCTCTGCTGGAGACAGACATCCCCTGAGCAGAGATGGTACTGGCAGGCAGGATGGATAAACCAGAAATACATTCCCCAAAGGTGACAGTAGCAAAGAGAGTAAGTGTCAAGAAATTCTGCCCTGTCAGTCTTGGGAGGCTGAGGCAGGAGGATTGCTGCAAATTCCAGGCCAGCCTGGGATACACCGTGTATTCAAGGCCGGCATGAGCTTCATAACAAGCCTCTGTCTCAAAAACCAAAAAAAGAAGGAAATCAGCCAGCCTGCCCCTTGCTCTAATCCTTGGGGTAGCAATGCTAATCCCATCCCGGTGCTTCCGGATCGGAGGTGCTGAGGGAAGGCCACAGTAAGTACGAGGAAGGAAAAATCTATCCGCCTCCCAGCTGTGTTTCTGTTTTTGTAGGGGGAGGTGGCGCCACGCAGAGGAACGAGCGCTGAGCGAGCCTCCTGAGAACCGTGGGCGGGCGGGACAGCCTGCGGAGGGGCGAGGTTTCTCCCTTGGGCACGCCCTCGCCTCCCCCGCCTGGCTGGCTATTTTAGGCTGCGGTGGGAAAGGGCCGAGCTGCCAGGGCGCCCGGGCGCCGAGCCAACGCCAGGGTGCCAGAGCCTCCCTGCTGTGGGAACCGAGGACAGGGAGGCGCTGCCACAAGAACCCTTCAATCCGCAGGCCCCTCGCCACGGACAGCGGGCACTCTCTCCCAAGAACAAACGCAGCTTACCCGGGCGTGGCGGCGCACACCTGTCATCCCAGCACTCCAGAGGCTGAGGCAGCGGGATCACAAATTCAAGCCCAACCTGGGCAACTTAGTGACTTAGTGAGGCCCTGTCTCAAAACAAAAAATACAAAGGCCTGGGGAATATAGCTCAGTGTTTTTAAAAGAAGAAAAAAAGCAAACGTGGTGGCACACACCGGTCATCCCAGCACTCAGGAGGCTGAGGCAGGAGGAAGATCCCTTCAAGTTTGAAGCCAGCCTGAGCTGCATAGTGAGTTCAAAGCCAGCCTAAACTGCTTACCAAGACCCTGTCTCAAACAAACAAATAACTGGAAATCATACAAAGCAAAGGAGTAGCAGATGGAAAATCATAGCTTTAAGACAAGACACCCTAGTAGGCCTTGCCCATCTAGAAATCCCACAGTCACTGACCCAGACACCTGCCTCCCTGCCTATGGCCGGCGTCTCCTGCAGAAACTGCCCTGCAGCTATCCCGCAGGGTTTGCGCTTCACAGGCAAAGGGCAAAGGGCTTGTGCAGCAGACCGCTGCAAATCCTCCTCCCCAGCCAGGCTGCTGGCTGCGTGTCCAACAACTGACTGTGGCCAGACGGCAGCCGCACTGAGCCTTCACCATTCCCAGAACACACCCTGCCCTCCCTTGACCTTGTCTCAGCCAGGAATGCCTCTCTCCCTACCCTTCACTATCTAGTAGACTCCTATTCATCCCTCAAAGCCCAGCTCTGCTGTCACCTTCTCCTTGAGGCCTTCCCCGGTGCCCAGACAGAACCCAATTCCTGGCTTCAGACATCTGCAGACTCCTCAGCTATTCGCTGTCCTCCTCCATAGTCTGGGGCCATCTTTGGGATTTTGTTTTGTTTTGTTTTGTTTTTGAGATAGGGTCTCTCTTTGTAGCTCAGGCTGGCCTGACTCTCACAGCGATCCTCCTGCTTCAGCCTCCCGAGTGCGGGGATCACAGGCATGTAGCACCATGCTCAGGCGTGTTTTTGCTTTTTGACACAGGAGCTATGTGTCCCAGGTTGATGGATCCCCCTCCCTCAGCCCCTGAGTGCTGGGATGACACACGTGCACCACCATGCCCAGCTCAAAGGCCAATTCTTACAAGGTCCGCAACCCCACGAGGATCTGGTTTCTTTCTGCTCTTTAACTGCAACCTTTGCCACCAGCCCCACCGGCCATGCCTCGGTCGGTCTAGAAGCCTAGCTGCTTCATGCCCCTTGCTCTGCTGCTGTGCCCAGGGAACCGGCCTTGCAGGCAGTTCAAAGTTCACCCCGGGAAAGCCTCCCCGAGACCCTGGGAAAGCCATGCATGGCGAAGGGTGCTCTGGACAGACCGTGACAGAAAGCCAAAGCAAAGCAGCGATGCTCACCCTACGTAGCCACTAGAATCACCTAAAAGCCACCGGGTGTGTGCCAGGTCTTGGATGCCACGAGAGTCCCAGGGGTGTGCCCAGCTCAGGGGTTTTCAAAGCTTCCTGTATTCTCACCGGCAGAAGTAGGGATTGTCTTTCCTACGCAACAGATAGGGAGGCAGGCAGCTGCCAGGGTTGGCCAAGTAGCACCGCGATGTCCAGGCCAACGTTTAGTGGTTTCTTGTTTAGTTTTGTTCGCTGTGACCCGGGGCAAGTGTCAACCACTAAGCCCCGCCCCCACACTTCAGTGACATTACCTTTGCCTTTCTCCTTGTTGGCCCTGTGGTCACCAGCTGGCTGGAAGTGTCTCCTGCCATGTTCAAAGCAGGAAAAGGCAGGCCCAGCCCTATTCTCTCCTACAGCAAATCAAAGACTGTCTGGAAAACACGCCCGCCACCTCCCACTTCAACACAAGTGACAGAATGGGCCACCTCCAGCGGCCAGAAATGCAATATTTGCCCGCATGCCAAGATGGCTTTGGAGGATGTTTGAAAAGCATTTTTTTTTTTTTTTGTTCTTGAGACAAGGTCTTATGTAACCCAGGCTGGCCTTGAACTCATCATGGTGATCCTCCTGCCTCAGCCTCCAGAATGCTGGGATTACAGGCCTGCACCACTGTGCCTGGTTTCATGATACTTTTCTATTGTTCTTCTTCATGGTACTTTTTAAAGAAACCCAAGTGATTCTAACATGCTACTGAATTTGAGATCCAGCACCTTGAACAGCATATACATACAATTAAAAATAACTTGAGCCTGTAATCCCAGCACTTAGGAGACTGAGGCAGGAGGACCACCTTGAGTTCAAGGCCAGACTGGACTACATAGTAGGTTCAAGGCCAGCCTGGACTGCATAGAGAGATCCTACTTCAAAAAGCAAACAAAAATGAAGACAACCCTCAGGGCTAACTTCATGGATGTTCAACCTATGTAGTCGAATGCAATCCCATGCCCTGCACTTGACTTTACAATGATGGGCCTGGTTCTGGTCACTCGCAACTTCCTCCAAGATCTAGCACAGTGAAGGGCCAGGGATAAAGCTCAGCGGTACAAGCACCTGTCTGGCAAGCGTAAGGTCCTGAGTTCGATTTCTGTACAAAAAAAAAAAACAAGATCTAACATGGTTTTCCTCCTCAGAAAGTCTGCACAGACCCGACATCTCCCCGTCATCTTTGGGACACCCCAACTCCCGTGCTTTTGCCCCTAGCAGGTGAGCCAGGGGCTCATGCAATACCACAAGGGTTGTGGGGTCAGCAGGCATGGGTACAGGGTGCCAGCGAGTGTGGTAGAGACAGGAGAGTGGCTACAGGGGTGAGAGGAGGCTGCGGAAGGAATCAGGAAACCGGGCTATGACCTGCGTCAGGCCACAGACTCACTGTGAAACTCTGGTCATGTTCTGGGCCTCAGTTTACCTACCTGCAATCTAAGACGGTTTGATGAATGAACCCTTCTTTTGGCAGGGTGGACAAGGGCCATGGAGATGAACATGGATGTGGATGGCCCAGCTGATACCTTGGCTCATGGTGGCTCTTCTTCCAGCACTGCCCGGGGATTGAACCCCTTCCCCGGTCACGGATGTCACAAAGGCCACAGTAGGTACAGGAAGATGATGATGGAAACAACCAGCATGTGCTTGGAGCCTCCCAGGGTGGTGGACCCCCGAGGCCTGAAGCAGTATTATTTGCAAAGGCAGACTCAAAACCAGGTGCCAACATACACGCCCATATTCCCAGCTACTCAGTAGACTGAGGCAGGAGGATCAAACTGGCAAGGCCAGCCGGAGCAATTTAGCAAGATCCTGTCTCAACATGTTGTTTTATGTTTGGTTTTCTGAGACAGGGTCTCCCTATGTAGTCCGGGCTGGCCTTGAACCCCCAATGAAGCCCAGGCTGACCTCAGACCCTCCACAATCCTCCTGGTTTGGCCTCCCAAGTGCTGGGATTACAAGCGCGTGCCACCATACCCAGCTCCTCGTCTCAAAATTTTACAAAAACTTTTAAATGGCTGGGGGTTCAGCTCAGTGGTACAGTGCCTGGCTAGGATGCCCGAGATCCTGGTTCAAACCCCAGCACCGCTAATAGTAATAATAACAGCCCGAGACCACGAGGGGTCAGAGGTGGGAGGTGACTCGCCAAAGCACTTATAAAACACGTCTTCTGGCTTCCGATCCAAACCCAGTGAACACGAGGGCAGCCCTCTCTGCTTCTCAGGCATGAGGAAGCGTTCGAAGTGCCAACCTGTGTGCCCCAGTCTCCACTATAAAGAGCATAAAGTCAGCCGGAAAACTCTGCGCTCCAGAACGTCGCTCCTAGGGGCACCCCGCGACCCATCGCACGAACAAACGAAATTTGAGCCACAGCGCCCCCTGGCGGAAAGTGGGTCCGCACTGCGCGGCGCCGGATGGGGTCCTCTCCAGAGAGGGGTTTTCCTGGGCCCTGGCGCCCCGAAGTGAAGCCCGAGGCTGGAGGCAATGGCTGGAGACGCCCCCGACCCCGGGCTGCTCCCCACCTCCCGCCTGCACGCAGCGACTGCAGCCCAGCCAGGCTCGCGAGGTAGGGAGGTCCTGCGACGCGGTCTCGGATGATGGAAGATGACAGACTGGCTTGGGACGCAGAGCCCAAGGCGGGGACGGAACCGGGCCTCGGCTGCCAGCACCGCGGTCACCAGGTCCAGCGTCTGCTCTTAGCATCACCTGGCCAAGCCACGGCTCAGGTATCCGACACCTGGGGCCCAAAGTCACAGGCCAGGAAACCCAACACCCTTGGGCCCCGGCCCCCAGCTGCCAGCTGAGAGCAGCAAACTGGGCTTTGGGGAGGAAGCTCTGCAGAGCCGAGCGACAGGGCAGAGGGCAGCAGCCGGCAGGGCTCTGCCACAAAAGGGGTGAGCGGCAGGGAGGGCTGGGGGAGCGCGAGGGAGCGCGGCTGGACAGGGGTTGACTGATGGGCCCGGGGGTGGGGCCGGAAGTACACCTCCCGGCACGTGGCCCGCTGGACGCCCTCAACCCCATCGCTGATCTGTCCGCCCCTCTTATTTCCTTCACCCTGGTGCCAACCAGGCCTTACCTGGCCCACTTGGGAGCCACCCAGGCAGGTAAGCGGAAACGGCTTTATTCCTAGGGAAATCAGTCCACGGGCAGAGGCAGAAGCTTAGGAGCCCGCAGACCCAGAGTCAGTTGGACCAAGAGACCCCCTAGATCAGCCTTCCCAGACCCACAGAGCCCAAGTCTCCAGCCCGGGAGACTCTTTACCCAGAGCCCTGCACGAAGAGGGACCCTCAGGAGGAAGTAAGAAAGTCACCCCGGCCCGAGGGGACTCCACAGAGGGCTCCAGGAGAGCGCCGGTGGCGGGGGGACGCTGCTCCTCTCATGCTATCTCTCCTCCCTAGATCCCGCGCCCCTCCAGGACGATGCCTGTGTGCAGCCATGCTCCTCCCAGCTGCTCACCTCCTGCCCCTCCTGCTGGTGATAGGCGCAAGGGAGGCCGTGCCCAGCGCCCAGTCACCTCCCCACGGCTGCTACGTGGCAGAGGAAGCCGGTGAGCGGACCTTCCGCTGCAGCCGGGCAGGCCTGAGCGCTGTGCCCCCAGGCATCCCCAACGACACCCGCAAGCTCTACCTGGATGCCAACCGGCTGGCGTCAGTGCCTGCCGGCGCCTTCCAGCACCTGGCCATCCTGGAGGAGCTGGATCTGTCCCACAACGTCCTCGCGCACCTCTCGGGGGCTGCCTTCCAGGGCCTGGCGGGCACGCTGCGCCACCTTGACCTCTCTGCCAACCAGTTGGCCTCTGTGCCCGTGGAGGCCTTCATGGGGCTGCAGATCCAAGTGAACCTGTCCGCCAATCCGTGGCACTGCGACTGTGCCCTCCAGGAAGTGCTCAGGCAGGTGAGGCTGGCGCCGGGCACAGGGACGGGCATCGTGTGTGGCTCTGGAGCCCGACCAGACCTCGTGGGGCAGGAGTTCCTGCTGCTGGCCAGGGAGGAAGAGCTGTGTGGCATGGGGCACGGCGGGGCCCAGCGGAGCACCGACGTGGCCCTGCTGGTCACCATGGGGGGCTGGGTGACGCTGGTGGTGGCATATCTGGCCCACTACGTGTGGCAGAACCGCGATGAGAGCCGGCACCCTCTCAAGCGGGCACCAGTGCTGCCTGTGCGCTCGGAGGACTCGTCCACTGTCAGCACAGTCCTCTGACAGCCGGGGAGCCCCAGGATCCCAGCCCTGCGCCCACCCCTCTCCTTCCTCTCCTTCGGCTCCTCCTCTGGCTGCCATGAACACCCACTCTCTGTCTCTCTCCCTCTGTCTCTGTCTTTCTCTCTCTGTTTCTATCTCTCTGTCTCTGTCTCTCTCTCCGTCTCTGTCTGTCTCTCTCAAACACACACACACCATCACTGGTGTCTGGATTCTAGGGGGGGTTCCTCTGTGCCCGGATTGTGCTAGACTCAGAGAGCCCAAAGTTCCCAGGTCCAAATTTTGGAGGAGGAGGCAGTGAGAGAGGGAGGGGACAGGGGTCAAGCTGGAGGCGAGGCCAGAAAGCTGGGGTGCGGCTACATGGAGGACACTGCGGGTCCCCCTCTGCCTCTCCTGGGGCCCTCCGCTTGGTTCTTACTGACCCCGCTCCTGTGCCTCTGTTGGGAGCCCTGCGTCCTCTCCCCCACCCCTCTGTCATTTCCTGTGTACCCTGAGGGATTTCCTGTGCTCAGTCCCTTCCAGCAACAGTGGCCTCCTCTAAGACAGAGCTTAGGATGAGGGCAGAAGAGCTGGGAGCCTAGAGCTTCGCCAGGCACCTCAATAAAGTCCCTCTTGTGACCGCTCTGACCTCTTTCTTATCTTCCTTCGCTTGGACACGTGTGGCCGGGCCGTGGGCGCGAACGGCAGGGATGCGGTGCTCTTCCCGCCACCTCCCTAGGTGCGGGGCTGCCCGGTATGCCCGCCAGCTTCCTCTCTCCCCACCCCTGCACCCCACCCCGACTGCGCGGGAAGCCAGGGCCCTGAACCATTGATGGAGCCAGCAGGCCGGAGCCTGAGGGGGCCTGAAGGAGGCCCAGTGGGGAGCAGGGTGAGAAGGCAAGCGTAGGACCCAGGAGGGGGCCTGGAGTGTGGCAGTGCTTTGGGGGAGCCCATGGGGGATCAAATTGGAACCCAAGATATGAACCATTGAACCAGGGCTTCACGCAGCTTGGGGTAAAGTGGTTGTTGCCACAGGAGTGGAATCCGTTCCTGTCCCGCAGGTCTGCAGTGAGCAGCTCATCTGACCCTGACACCAAGCCATTTCCGGAGGGGAGATGGGGCGGGAAAGGGTCCAGGGAAGAGGGCTTTGCTTGTAGCCCAGCTCAGGAGGTCCTGGAGCCAAGGATGATGTTCCACTGTCGTCCCCCCGACCCCTGCCCCTCTCCAGAGCTGGGGCAGCAGAAACAGTGGAGAGAGTGGGGTGGGGGACAGAGGGGTGCAGGGGAAGCAGCGTAGGTGCCTCAGGAACTCACCTCCCCTTTGGCCCACCCAGTGGAGACCCTGAGTCAAAACTCTGTAGGAGGAAGATGCCAGAAACTGGATGCCAGCTTCGGCTCCGCCCGGCACAGGATACTGGAGCACCAGTCCCCAGCCGCTGGGACCCTCCAGCAGCGCCTGGCTGGTGCTTATCCACGGAGTAGGCAGGGTGGTGGCCTGGCTGGTTCTACTCCCCCTCATCACTGCCAGGAACTGGGGATCACAGGGTCTGGTTCTGAGATGTACCGGTCCTGTGGAGGCCGCTGAACAGCCTCCTGGACGCGACCTGCTGCTGCCCTTTCGCCTGGCAGGAAGAAGAGTGTGTGTGTGTCCCTTGGGGGACACCGTGTCAAGACCCGCCGTGCCCCCATCCCTGGTGTGTAGCAGAGCCCAGGGCCATCAGACATGAAAGAAAAGGGCCATTCCTCTCCGAGGAAGACTCAGATCCTACAAAGCCTCACCCTCTCCAAAAGGGACGGACAGAGAGTGAGCTGCACACCGGAGCTGCGGGCTTGGAGCCAGCGCCACACCGGGAGTCAGGAAGAGGGAGCGAGGCCGGGACCGAAGAGCCCTGTCCCTCTGCCCGCTCTGCCCTCTCCTAGGGAACCTGGCCAGCAGGCGGTGGAGGCCAGGGTGGAGCAGGGGTGCGGCTGAGATGGGGGCAGCGCCCCCACCTCACCCCACTCGCCAGGGACAGAGGGGCCGAGCCTCCTCGGGGGAAGCTTTGGGCTTGCGGGGCAGGACCCCCTTTCCTGTCCTCCCCGCCCCCTTCCTCGCCCGTGGCCTGTCAACACCGCCACCATCCTGCCTCTGGGAGCCCCCGGCCCGCCCTCCTTAGCAGCAGGCCCCAGGACGGGCCCCCGGTGGCGGTGGCGTGTGAGGAGGGCAGAGGGACGTCCCAGGGACAGGTCACACCTCTGGGCCCCGCCTTCCAGGCCACGCTCCAGTGCGGAAGGCTGGGGTCTTCCCTTCCTGTCTGGGTCCCCCCACCCGGCCAGCGGGTGACTCTCGCCCGGCTAGGACCCCAACCCAGCGGCGGCCGGGGCCCCTACCCAGTGCTCCCCCGCTGGCCGCCTCGCGCGGGGCACGGCCCGGAAAGGAGAGGAGGCAGCGGTGCCAGCCCGAACCCCTCCGGGCATCGCCGCCCCCGGACAAGAGGCGATCTGCTCCCTCGGAGGAGTGGGACGCGAGCGGCTCGTTCCCGCCCCGGTCGTGCGATGGGGCTGGGAAGGGGGTCGCGTCGGAAAGGGAGAGGGACACAAGACCCCTTCCTCCAACGGACAGGAGCCGCGCGGGTCAGGAACCAAGGCCGCGGGGCGACGGCGGGCGGACGCAGGGGGTCAGCCCAGGGGAGGCGGATCCCAGCCCCGCGCCGGGCAGTCTGCGAGCACCCCCGCCGGCTGCGACGGGTGTCCCGCAGCCCGACCC